TGGTCCGGTTATTACCCTACTTGGGGTCACTTTATTTTTGATCGGACGACCTTAAGTGGTCCGATACCGGGCAACCTTAAGTGGTCCGGTTATTACCCTACTTGGGGTCATTTTATTTTTGATTGTACGACCTTAAGTGGTCCGATACCGGGCAACCTTAAATGGTCTGGTTATTACCCTACTTGGGGTCATTTTATTTTTGATCGGAATAGAACGCTTTTACTGATAATACTTTTTCAAATACATGGCATTCCAGGGATACATCATTGGCGTTCCATCTAAGTACTTCAACCGGTAGGCCTCATTCTTAAGTACGACGTCAACTTGATACGGTCCTTCCCATTTTGGTTTCAGGGGGCCCGGATCCGGCCCCGTCACTCTCTTCAAAACGAGTTCTCCTGTTTGGTAGAGACGAGAGCTAACTCTCGTGTTAAAGTGTCTTTCGGTCACCCGTTTGTATGTTGTGTTCTTTAGTTCAGCTTGCGTCCGTGCTTCTTCGATTAAGTCCAATCCTGTTCGCAATCCCTCGCTATTCGCTTCCTCCTCAAAATTCTTTACTCGATACGTTTCTGATCCGATTTTGACCGGAACCATTGCCTCCGCCCCACATGCTAACGAGAACGGCGTTTCCCCAGTCGTTGATCTTGGTGTGGTCCGATACGACCACAAGACGCTCGGGAGCTCCTCTGGCCAGGCCCCTTTTGAGCTTTGCAGTCGTACCTTCAAACCTTGTTTAATGATTTTGTTGATGGCCTTTACTTGCCCGTTTGACTGCGGATGGTAAGGGGTGGAGAAATGATGTCGAATCCCCAACTCTTCACAAAACGTGCCGAATCTCTTTCCCTCAAACTGCCGTCCGTTATCGGTTACCACAGACTGGGGAATACCAAAACGACAAACGATCGATTTCTACAAAAAATCGACCATCTTTTGCTCGGTTATCGTTGCCAAAGGCTCGGCTTCCGCCCATTTAGTTAAGTAATCGACTGCTACGACCGTGTATTTGACTCCTCCCCTGCCCGTTGGTAAGGGTCCGATTAAATCGATCCCCCACTTGGCAAACGGCCACGGACTTAAAACTGAGGTGAGCGGATGAGCCGGTTGCTTTAGATTAGGGGCAAACGTTTGGCACATGATACACCTTCTAACTAGGTTAAACGTGTCCTTTTTCAGCGTGGGCCAGTAGTACCCCTGTCGCAGTATTTTGTGTGCCAACGCCCGTCCCCCCGAATGGTTCCCGCATACTCCCTTGTGTACTTCTCTCATGACTCGCTCGGCCTCTTCGTCGTCCACACATTTGAGTAATGGATTCGAATAGCCCCTCTTGTATAACGTTCCTGCCATGATCGTGTACCTTGCCGCGCGGATCCTTAATGACCGGGCTCCTTTGAGATCAGCGGGAAGTTCTCCCTTCTCCAAATATGATCGAATCGGGTCCATCCATCTGGGAGTTTTGGTAGCGGCCGATTCTTCAATCCTCATGATCTGCTCGACCTGAACGATCGGTTTCTCTTGATGGCGTGTGTAAACGTACTCGATCTCGTCAGTCCCTCGGTTAGATGCCAATCGTGCCAGCGCGTCCGCCTGGGAATTCTCTGACCGTGAAACGTGCACGAGCTGAATGTTCGCTCGCATTATCTTCTTTTGAGCTAGGTGTAAGTATGGTACCAGGTGGGCTTCCTTCGTCTCGAACTTCCCTGAGATTTGCTTCACTAACAACATTGAGTCCGAATGCACTTTTAAATTCGTGATGTTCATCGAACGGGCCAAGTCCAGGCCGGATAACAGTGCCTCGTATTCAGATTCGTTGTTGGTCGCGGCAAACAGGTACCGGACCGAATGGCAATACATCTTTCTTTGGGGGCTGACGATCACAACTCCTCCCCCGGACCCTTCGGTTGTGGTCGATCCGTTTATGTACATATCCCAAGTCTCTGTAGTTTGGACTGGTTCGACGCCCGTTGTGAACTCGGCTACGAAGTCGGACAACGCTTGTCCTTTTATCGCCGTCCGTGGTTTATATTGTATATCGAACTGCCCAAGTTCTACGGCCCACTTGATCATTCGTCCCGACGTATCTGGCTTGTGGAGAATTTGATGAATAGGATAGGCTGACAAGACGGTCACCCGGTGTTCAAGGAAATATGTCCTGAGTTTTCTTGAAGCCGTCACCAGGGCGAAGATTAACTTCTCGATTTACGGGTAACGAACCTCGGCTTCATGTAATGTCTTGCTTGTGTAATAGATCGGATGTTGGTTCAAATTCTCCTCCCGAACGAGTACGGCGCTTATCGCGGTCGGGGTTACTCCGAGATATAGATACAGCATCTCTCCCGGGGTCGACTTTTGGAGGACGGGGGGTCGAACGAGCGACTCCTTGATGTAGTCCAGCGCGTGTTGGCATTCGTCCGTCCATTCGAATTTTTTAACCTTTTTAATAGCCTCGAAGAAGGGCTTACATTTGTCCGTGGACTTTGATATGAATCGGTTTAAAGCTGCTAATCTACCCGTTAGACTTTGCGTTTCCCTTATCGACCTAGGGGGTTTTAGTTCGAGTATTGCTTTAATCTTATCGGGGTTTGCTTCAATTCCCCTTGGACTAACAATGTACCCTAAAAACTTACCCGAACCTACTCCAAATGTACATTTTTTGGGATTTAACACCATGGAGTAATCACGCAAAATAGATAACATTTCATTAAGATGTGTCACATGATCGTTCGCAAAAACAGATTTAACAAGCATATCATCAACGTAAACATCCATGGTTCGTCTGATCTGATCTGCAAACATCTTATGCACGAGCCTCTGGTAGGTTGCGCCGGCATTCTTGAGACCGAATGGCATCATGGTGTAGTAATAGAGTCCTCTGGCCGAATAGAAAGATGTGTGCTCCTCATCGTTCGGGTCCATTGGGATCTGGTGGTACCCCGAATAGGCGTCCATGAAGCTCATGAGTTCGTGTCCGGACGTCGCGTCCACCATGTAATCGATGCTGGGCAACGGATAACTGTCTTTGGGACAGGCCCGGTTGAGATCGCTGAAGTCGACGCATAATCGCCATGTCCCGCTGTTCTTCTTTACCAGAACCGGATTGGATATCCAAACCGGGTACTCAGCTTCGTGTACGAACCGGTTGTCAATCAACTTTATTACCTCTCCCTCGAGTGATTCTTGTCGCTCCGGTCCCAGCTTCCTCCTTTTCTGCACGATTGGTTTCCCCGTTCGGTCAACCCGAAGGCTATGGCACGCTAAGTTTGGATCGATCCCCACCATATCTTCATGCGTTCAGGCGAAGACATCTGCGTTTTCGATCAAAAAGGCAATTAACCTGGACCGGATGGGCTCGCCTATGTTTCATCCGATGCGCAATGACTTGGTGCAGGCCGGTTCATCAAGATAGATCACCTCCGTGTCTTCGCTTGGTTCGGTCCGTTCGGATTTCCTTCCTTTGAATTGATTTCGGGGGTCCAACTCATCTTTTTCTTCAATTGGTTCCTTCCCTGGTCGTCGCCCTCGGTCTGCCGTTCGGTCCTCCTTATCGAACGGATTGTCCTCCTCCTGGGTGGACTTCTGATTTCGTTCTCCATCCGGGTCGGAGTGATTAGCCTCCGATTCTTTTACAGCTTTCTCAACCTGTTCGTCTCTCAGGGGTGAGGGTGTGTTTGCGTTTGATAACGTCAGCATGGGGTACTCGTCTTCCTCTTCTGGGCCCTCGATCGGTTCTTCCCTCACCCTCTTTCTTTCATTCGTGTGTCCTTCAGCCGCACTGTTGTCTGGCTGTTCGGGCGAGTCTTCTTGCTCGTCTGGCTGTTTCGGTTCTACAATTGGTCCGATGATCTGTTTCTCTTCCTCGTTCGTCATCATGACCGAGTGTATATCTAATGATGGGATCGCCATGATGCACTCTCTTGCTTCCCTTTGGTTACCGTAGTGGACTCCTGTACCGTTCTCAGTTGGGCACTTGATCGAATAGTGGAAGATTGATACGGCTGCCCTCAACATGTATAGGGCTGTTCGTCCGAGGATGGCGTTGTACTCGCTGGCCGTTTTCACCACCTTGAAAGTCTCCATGATCCTTCATCCATTCGCTCCTGATCCTCCGAGCTCGATTGGTAATGTGATTTCTCCTTCGGGAATGGTTGCTTGCCCGTTAAACCCTGTTATGCGGTCGTTGCATGGGCGCAGTTCGCTTCGATCTATCCCCATTTTAAGGAATGCGGTCCAATACAAGATACTTGAATACGCTCCAGTGTCCACAATGATTCGGTGAACTGGGATGCGGAAGATAGGGGCTGTTATTACGAGTGCGTCTGAGTGCGGATTATCGAATGGGAAAGAATCTTCATCCGAAAACATTATTAAGTTCGTGGGCATGGGCACTTGTCGGTTGGCCTCCGCTCGGCTGACTTGGTGTCCTGTGCTGTATGCCTTCCGGACATATGCCTTGACTTGCCTTCTCGACACGCCTGTACTCTCTCTGCTCGTGTTGACCCTGGTGGGCAGTCCGCTTCTTCGGATTGGGATGTGAACCGAATGCTCCTCGTCTCGACTGGATGTTGTCCTTTTCCTTCCCTCGGATGCACTTGTCTCACCTCGTTGCTCCTGACTTATCATCAAGATTTCATTGGGTTGTTCGTTCGTTCTCCGAGGATTCGCTCCAAAGTCGAGATCGTCTCCTAGGTTCATTCGATCGTTGTTTCTTGGCCTCCGGTTGCCTCCGTCCATCCTAGTGAACCTCCTTACCTGCGGATCATCAATGAGTTTTAAAAGAGCAGATATCAAATTCCGACACTGGTCAGTATTGTGGCCGTGCGATTTGTGGTAGGCGCAGTATCGGCTTTTGTCCAAATTCTCCTCGTCGGCCCTGATCGGTTTAGGGTCTGGGATGATCCCCTTGTTTTTCAGTTCTTCGTACACCACGGCCGCACCGGCCGAATACACTCCCTGGTAGCTGTTCGTGAGTTCCTCGTGATGTTTCCTCTGCATGGCCCAGAATTGGGCACTCCTTCCGTCCTTCGTGAACTCCTTGTTCGGTCGGGATTCCTTCGCTTTATTAGGTGGTTCGTTCAAGGCTGGAAATGACGGGACGGACATGTTTTCTTCTACCATGATATGCTGTTGAGCTTTCATCAAGAATTCATGGTACGTCTGGGGTTTGTTTTGGCAAAGGGTCCATTTGAACATCGAATTTGGTCTCAACCCTGAATATGCTGAAACGAGCAGGGTCTCTTGATGGCACGGTTCCATGTTTTGTACCCGTTCATTGAAACGATTGATATAATCCTTCAAATTTTTGTCCGCTCCTTGGATGATATGAGTGTTCGATTCTTTGGGAATTCGGCATGCCTGGGATCCGATAAAGTGTGTTCGGAACATTGACTTTAATTGTGACCACCTAGCGACCGA